TTTGAACTTGCTATTCATCAAAGAATCCTTCATTTATCACGGTTTCCACAAAAATATGAAGCAGCACAACTGTTTTCAACATTGATAATAATCAGAAATGTTTCTTGAGCAGCAAATCAGCATCTTAGAATGATTTCTGAAGATCATGTGACACTGAAGAAAATTACATTTTAAAAGATATTCACATAGAAAACAGTTAATATAAATTGTAATAATATTTCACAGTATTACTGTTTTTACTGTATTTTTGATCAAATAAATGCAGCCTTGGTAAGCAGATGAGACTTCATGCAAACACATTAAAAGAAATCTTAAGGACCCCAAACTTTTTAATGGTAATGTATGTCAAAGTTATTGTATTGTTTTAAAGAAATGGTTTACCATTAGCCTCTCAGTGCTGTTTTAGCTCATTATGCTGCTTTATTTATTGCCTCGATCACCCCTGTAGAACTGGCTCAGCGGATCTGAATCACACTTTCAATCGTGCATTTGTAGAGAGATTTGTGCTATTATTTTTCCAAGCAATTTTGAAATTTCGGAACATGGGCGAAACATACCCTAGATTTCAGACACTGAAGAACTGGGCCATATCCAGAGACCTGAACACCACTGAGCCAAGTATCCACCTAGCATCCACCCAGAACCGAACCTTAGTAATCGCACAGCAATGCTTTTGTCATGCACAAGCCACCACTGTTTCCTTTACAAAAAAAAAAACAAAGTCAGAATCACCCTCTAATTCTCCCTGTTATGGGAAGAAAATGTTTTCTCTTGTCTGTTCTGTGTGTTGGATTTAACCAAATGTTCAATATGGCGCTCCAGACGCCGAACAGACCAAATCACAGTGAGTCAGAGCCTCTGTCATTCTCTGAAATCTGGCAGAACCACCGTAACATGGCCATTTCAATTCCACATGCTTTGAATTTAACAAAGATATTTGTTCAGAAACATATACAACAGAATAGCATGTCATAACATACAAATACAGCATTTCAAGTTGATGCGCAGGCTTTCAGGAGAGTTTTAGTCTGCAAATCTTGAAGTTTGAAGACATCCTTTGATTTCTCCAAACTCTGTTCACTTCAAACCGGGATCCAGGTCTTTGTATGCTGACTTGTGTCTGAATGACAGCCCTGCTGCAGATTTTGGCTTCATGAAGCTCAAGGCTTGTTGTTTTTGGTTCACAGAGGTGTTGATTCACTTATGAAGTCTTTTTGTCGAGGCTTTATATTTGACGTTTAGCAGATCTCTGTACGTCCCTGGCTGAAGACCAGCTTCAGCTTACTTTATGCTCACCAAGGCTGCATTTATTTGATCAGTAAAAACGGTAATATTGTGGAATATTATTATAATATAAAATAGCTGTTTTGTATTTGAACATATTTCAAAATGTAATTTATTCCTGTGATGGCAAAGCTGGACCAGGGCTCTGAATAATATTGTAACCGTGTAGTTTTCAAATCATGGAAAATAACCCAGTCAGCACAAACTGATGGAGTAATCCCTTACAACATGCAAATGACAAACCCGTTTCTATTTGTCATTCTGCGGAGCTGTTCCAGTCACTTTCCTCATCCGTATAAAATATCATTTTTTGCAAATACCACATATTAAGTCATTATTAAAAATTGCATTTGTTTGTATGTAGTAACAAAATCAGTTACGTTGTCATTGGAAACAGAGCAGGTGGGAGTGGAAGTGCAGTCTTTAATGCTGACCCTTTCTGCTTATCTAAAATGATTCACCTTTGAATCTTATTATGTTCAATTCCTTTTTCACGTAATGTTTCCATTATTCTGTCAAGCCCTGGATTTATAGAAGCTTTCATTACTTTTTGATATGGAATGTGTAAGTCTGGAGAGGCTCTTAAATATAGATGAGCGTTTTATTCCTCAATTTGCGTTTGGAAGTTGCCCGCAGAGAGTCGGGCTGCCGGTGTGTCTGCTCTTGCGATAGGAAACTGGGAAATTGGAAAATTGCAAATAAGATGTAGAATTTCTAGAGGTTGGTTTTGGAAGATGTCTGCTGTTAAATTGTGTCTCTTTCTTACTCTCATCTCTGCCCCAAGAACTCACCTTTGAAAACTCTTTGAACACGTCATGCTTATATTTAGCCCTTGTTCTTTAAACCATGGATTTTAAGCATGAATGACTTCTTAAATATCTTAGTTTCTTAAACATAATAGATGTAAAATATGATAATATAAAAAAGATTCTAATTTTCACAGGGCGAAATCCAGGAATCCTCACAATCATGAATTTAGGATGAGGGCGAAAGATTTCACAGGGGGTTTGGTTTGGTTTTGATCTTTAAATAAGCATTCACTGGTCGTGATGAAATAAACCAGCTCCCAGACATGCTTGTCACTTTTAATGTTGGTGCACCATAGCGTCATAAATCATACATGCATATAAACACATCAGTTGCAGGACTTCATTTGTTTATGTTAGGGATGCACCGATATGAACATTTTGGCCGATACCGATAACCGATAATTCTTTATTTTTGAAAGCCGATAAACGATATGTTGGCCGATAAATCTATATCCACATTTTTATATACTTTTTGAGAGCCTGATTACAAAAAAGGTCTCATCATTAAAACCCACATCCCAAACACTTCAACATAAGCAGCCTAGTTTGAACGGTGTACGTTTTAAAAATAATTTTACTCTCCCATTACCAAATTTAGTCATAAAGTCTTACAAATAAATAAAATAATGCATAAATAATGCAAACAAGTCACTGGACATCATTACACGTGTAAAGAATCAAAATTACTAGTTTATATGTAGAAATACAGACTGTGTTGCATCAAATGCAAAGTCAAATGAGTCAAAGTCACCCAAGAGGAGCTTCCTAAAGAGATACGAGTGTTGTCATGCTGTAATACATGAGTCTTCTGTCTACACGAGGATGAATCGTTTCAGAAACAAGCCCCTTCAGAGCGGAGTCTGCGGAGAGCTGCAGTGGATTGCGTTTAACTCGTTTGATGTCCGGTTCCACTGGAGATGTTAAGCGAGTCACTGCCTTATTGAGACGTTAAGTGAGGAGGTGAAGCTTTGATTCAGTCGTAGTGACGTGGATCGGTGGTCCCATCGGAGCGCTGCCATACATCCGAGACCAGAGAGCGTAATGTGGAGATGTTACCATGGCTGCGGTCGTGATGGAGAGAGAGTGAGGTGGATTATTTCCAGAGTTGCTCGCATACACACCGCGTCTGTTCCTTCAACACGTTCCCTCAGCACACTTAATGGGAACAAATCAAGATGAATCAAATTTTGCCTGATCTTTTCAATTACATGCTTTTTGTGCAATGGAGTCATACTCTAGCATTTAAACTCCCCAGTCCACCCAGAGACCCACACACTAGAGACGGCTTGACATGTGAGTTTGATGGAAAGACATGGGGGAAAATCTGTTATGATGGTGTGGAAAGAGTCGGGCCAGTTTAAATCAAGTGGTAATACAGCAAATTGTATTCCTAAATTGTGAAATTGTCAGCAGATGAGTCGCCTGATGGAACATTATCTTGCATTGTACCATCTCGATTGAAATCGGTGAATTCATGGCATAAACTCCAGTTTGTAGGTTTCTTAACGCGTCTTAGAAGCAACATCACTGTAATTTGTGACAGTGAAAATGCTTTGCAAAATGACCCAGTCTCAGCCAATCATTTTGAAAATATGAAAATAATACAAAAGTGTCAGTCGTTGCCTTGGTAACACAACCGAGCTCAAGTGGAAACATAACTGGAACCGTTCGGCCCAACGGTGGAAAAGCGGCTGTGATAGCAATCCATTTAAAGTTTCATCTTTCTTGCTTCTTCTTCATGTGTGAGCGTGATTTGAACTCGAATAACATTCCGTAGTCCAGAAACTTTCTTTAGGTAAAGTTTAATAACAAAATTAACTGGAAAAATGTTACACGGTCAAAAAACAGTTTCGCTCCAATATTGCATCACAAAAAACTAACGGTCCTTGCCGGAAATGACATCATTGTCAATATGAAATATAATACACATATTAAATTATTTACTTTTATAATTATTTTACAATTGCTTAACACACATAATTATTTATTTATTTCACATCTATATAAACAAATAACATATGGCTCTTACAGCGGCTTTAGTGAACATCTGGTTCATCTGTGTGCTGTTGAAAATTATGCTGTGACAATTACAAAATGTTATATGAGATTCTCGATTTGACACACTTTTTCTAGAGTTGTTAAAATATATGTAGCTAGTGTTGTGTTGGGATGCTTATTTTCTGAAACAGTCCAATAAATTCATCAAACATCTTACCATTGGGGATTTTAGACAAGTTAGAGGTATCCTAGCGCAAACTCTCTTTTGGCATTAAAAGAACTACTGCAAGGTTTACTAAAGGCACGCAATGAAACATTAGCGATGAAAAAGCATAGACGCATTACTGTGGCTGACTTTATTGCATATTGGGTTTAGGGCTGCACGATTAATCGAATGCAATTGTCATGCGCATTTTGTTAAAAAAGCCGGTTCTGTAATCAGCATCGCAACCACATTTACAGATGAGGACTTACTCAGAATGAAGCAACATGATAAATAACACACAGATCTTAGCCAGTTATAATAGAGGTCATTTACATGTAGACATTTTAAAGATGTAGGACAGAAACTAAAAACGGTGCAAAAGGGTCATTAAAACTTAAATTGCGTCTATTTTGGTAGAGCAAAATGGCACAAAAAGACACCTTTAAAGAGAAGTAGTCAAATTTATTCATATAGATGAGTAATATTGTTATTCAAACATGAAGTCTGAATGACTGACATGCTGATGTAAAATCACAAGCAATTTGCATAACACAGAGTTACAGTACATCTTGTTAACTGGAAAAGACAAACTGGAGTAATTATTTAATCGATTTATTTGAAGTGTGGAACTAGTTGTGTTGAATTGAGTTGTGTTTGTGTGTGTGTGTGTGTGTGTGTGTGTGGCTGTGTGGTTTGTTTCGCAGGGTCAGCCTGTGGGTCAGTGTGACTTCAACAGACGTCTGCTGTGTATCGAGAAGGAGATCATCTTCCCACGATTTGAGAAAATGAAGCTGGGCCAAATTGATAAATCCAAGGAGCCCTTCAGCGTCAGGAACAAGCCTTTCTTCGACATCCACGCTGCACGCAAGGTATTTATCCATAAACTTCTGTGGCCATGTGTGAAAGAACAGGTAAATGCCACTTAAACTGTGTTAGTAACCTCTTTAATCTAGCAACCACTGTAATCCTATCTACACAATCTCTTGCAGTTCTCCACTGCTACAGTCACTTTGTAAACCTGTATTCTCTGTGAAGCTGCTTTCAATCCATCTGTGAGGTAAAACGCAGTGTAGAAGTGCAAGTGCAAAGGTGTTGTTCAATGAAAGCGCCTCTTTCAGAAGTTATCTGAAACTTTGAAGGCTGCAGCTCACAGAACACAAAAGAAACAAATGAATAGAGCACCTGTAAAAGTCGAAAACAGATTTCTGCTTATTCACACTCAATGGTTAGGTGCAAGATTCCTCTGATGTTTGTGTTCAGCCCGGGGACGAGGGCCAGTCAGTGACCGCAGTCTATTTCCAACGTGCTGAAGATGATAATCTGGTGTTTTTACCGTACAGACGGTTTGCAAGACAAATATATTCTGTATATTGACAATTTATTGCTTGTTCTTGGACTGACAGCTCTTGGTCTGGTTCTGGATGTGGGCCTTAAGGAGCCTAGTTTTGTTGACGGTCTTAGGGAGTCTTATGGGAGTCTGATATTGAGCTGGGTCTGGTCTTGACTTCAGCTATAATTATTGTAGCTGTGGCTTCAAAAACTATCGAATATTTCCAGCCTTATTTCCCAGGAGGAAAGATTCAGCTCATTTAACACACACATCTGTCCACTACTCGAGGGCACGTGGCTAATGGGAGAAATCAAATAATTTTGATATTAGACTCAATTTGTTTTTTTATGATAAATTTGTATTAAATTATAAAACACAGAATCCAGACAAGGGGGGATAAAAGTCAAATGGATTACCTGAATTAAAAGGTAGTTTAAAAACACGTTGCCATCAAATGATATTGAAAAAATGTCATGCATGTCAGGGCCATTTCTGCGAGCGGTTAAATTAGACATGTAATGCTCAGATATTTTATGAACCCTATAATAAGACCTTTATCCTGCTCTCATACAAAGACCCATACAGTTCAATATCAGGAACATCAGCCAATGAGCTGTGCTCTTCTGCTCCATCTCTATGAGGGATAAGTGGGATCATTTTCTGTGAAATTAACATGTCCGATGGTTTCTGAGAAATTTCCATCATGAAGAGGTTCACCCCTTGTCTGCAGTAGCCGTTTCGTAACCACATTTCATTCTCTGTTCATTGTTCGCCATGAATAAGTCTGTTTTCCTGAACGTCCAGGCTGGTGTGTTTGCGTGTGACTTGGCTTTGTCTTGTTCGGGGCCTGATCTGAGGATGAAGCCTTTCAGGATGAAGTCATAATGACTGCTGTTGAGAACTGAGAGGGTGTCATTGTTGAGGTCTCCAGCCATCTGATGTGCAGACAGGAAGAGGAAAATAGAGGAGCGGAGAAAGATTCCCATCAGTAATCGGTAGAGAGTGACATCTCCACTGCAGACTGCAGTCAGGATCAAAGCACTGTTGTCTAGGAGTTCATTCACTCACTCACTCACTCACGATTCCATCAGATATAAAGCCTGCCAGTGTCTCTTCTTGAAAATCCTTTAGCGGCCTCCTCAGCATTAGGACTGACTCCCAAAACATGAACTGGCCAGTAATATGCAGGACACGTTACATTTAGGCTCATATATGTCATAAATGGCAACTTGTGAATGATTATGTGGTTAGTGTGATATAAATATATGATGAATGTATGAAATGCACACTGTTTTGAAAGCTTGAGAGGCAAATTTGAGCAGAGTTCAGATGCAAATGGCTCTACATTTACAGAGAACAACATGAAAAAAATCAATAAAAATTAAATGATGAAAAAGAAGGAAGCAATGAAAGAAAACAAAATAGGCAATAAGATCAAAAAGGAGGAGGAGTGAAAGATAACAAATAACCAAAAGAAGGAACCAAGTGATTGAAAGTACAAGTAAAACAAAATTAAAAAAAAGATTAAATGAGGGGAAGACGTTCATTTGAGAGTGGAATTTGAGCGGAGTATAAATGCATTTATTTGTGCATTCAGTTACAGATACAAAGTGGCGTATTTATTTGTGCATTAGTGAACTGATTTGTGGTATTTGTCATACATTTATGCGTCTAACGAGTACAAATGCATGCCTTTGTGTGGTTTTGACATTTTTCCACCATTGTATATGTTGCATTAAAGCCCAGGCAGCACAAACAATGTTTTTTTTTTTCATTAAAATGCTAATTATCACAACATAACTCACATATCCAGTCACTAATTGAGTATTGCATAATTATATGCATCTTGGGACCATAAACCGGCCTGTCGATCATCCTGTGAACATTAACATTCTGATACTTCTCAGTTCACTTTCTCTATCCTTCATACGTTATTATTATTCAGATATTATACAGTTCTTCCTACCTTCCTTCTGACATTATCCACATTAAAAATGTAGTTTTATTCTCAACCTTTAATAATGTTGCTTTGTATATAGTGTTATGCGTTTATATCTTCAAAAAATAATTTAATATATTTGTTGGGAAATAAAGAGTCCTCATATAGGTTTTAGTGGTCTGTCAAAACCTTCAGCGCTCATGAATAGATGAAGAATCCTTGTGCATGAGCTGCTTTTGTCAAACACATGATTGTCAGACTCACAACTGGCCACTGTAAGAATTGGACAAGAACCCCCCTCCCTCTGTAGAGATATCATAAAAAGTGAGCAACTTTAAAAAAAAAAACGTAAACATAAAACCATGTCTGCATTTGTGATCAGAGAAATGACAAACAACAAGCGCTACTCTACACTGCTCAAAACTCGCGTTTGAATCGTCGTCAGTTCTGGACTCTGCTTCGTCCACGGTGAAAGCCGATCCGGTGATCCACAGCGCGAAGTTGATGTATTTCCTCAGCGACCAGCACGGATCAGCTCCAGGCATGACGAAGTGGATATCGTCCTCTTTTGGAAGACCAAACAAAGTAGTTTCGCTTTCTCAACGAAACACACAGCGCCTTCATGACATGGCGGCGGCAACAACAATACTACAGCGAGAATAAAAGTTACGCCTTATTTCTTTGCATGAACATTTGGGCGGCGTTATGCAAATCT